TCAAGATTCAGAATTTTTAAATTTTTAAATAAGGGGTCAGTGTGAGCATCGAAAGCACTCCTCGACATTATTCTTACGACCCGTTTTTGAAGTGTGATTAATCTTCTGAGGTTTGATGGGTAGGTCGATGCCCAGACGCTCACGCTGTAGAATAAGTATGGGTAGATAAGGCTAAAATAAAGCATCCGTGAGGAGGAATTATTAAGGCAAAAATTTGATTTATAAATTATACCTATGGCTTTAGACACTTTCCGAGCAAGATTATGTATATGTGATTTCCATGTTAAATGTTCATCCAAAATTACACCAGGAAAAGTAGCTTACACCAAGTAAAAGTAGGTGGGAAGTACATTTGTGCCATACTTTATTTCTGTGTCCGTTCACTGTGAAGGTGGGGTCCTACATTCCAGAGAATTTGGCGTCTAGTGGTCCTCCATTCCCAGCTCATTCCAGGGGTTAGAGATTAGGTCCGAGAGCCATTGCACTCACCCTGCTGGGGGAGGGGGGGGGGGCTCCCCGTTGCCTTAAACATCATAGAATTCTTTAAAATTCCGCGACCTTGCGGAGGTCTATCTTGGTTAGTTTTAAATAATTTACTTTAATACTTGACACCTCCGTTTATTTTAAGCCGTTTTTTTCTAGTCGTGTTGACACTGGTTTTCGTTGACTATAGTTTGGTTTCTCGTTATCCAGCTGGACCTTATGTACAAATCAGATACAGAACCACCCAAAACCAACCTATGACAAACATATACCGGATTGCAGGCAGCACCTATCCAGAAAAAGCCTCAGATAACAATGGAAATCGAGGCAACCAGCGCGGTTATAAAAGCTAACTACGCTATTTTTATTATAATAATAATCAGTTTATTAAACCCTTTGGTAGTGTATAACACTAAATTAAAAGGGAGGTCAAGAATACGCAGAACACATAATTACACATGACACAGAAGGCAAAAACAATTAATTTAAAAATTAATTCATAAGGTATAAACCCAAAAACTTGCTTCAATGTACTTAACTGTTTAACAGTAACTGTGGCTAACAAAATTACTAAGGCGGTCCGTTCTGACAAAGCGGAATTCAGAACGGGAAAAACCCGACCTCAACCCGTACCCATGAGCGACATTCGTGGGCTGCGGCAGCAGGAATGAAAGGAACCCGGACTCCTTGATGTTAGATATAAAACGCCTGCAAGCCTCATCACGGCGCGACAACAGTGTAGGCAAGCCACAGCTCACGAGTGCCGACTCATAAGAGCAATCTGGAAAAATTATTCCTAGTACAGACTTCTGCACGCTTTCCACTAATTGAACCAGACAGTTGGGTAACGCGACCCACACCGGAGATGCATATTCTAAAATGGGCCGCACAAGGCTACAATAAACCTGAATGAGATCAGCTGGTGGGAGGCCTGATTTCATTAAGACACGCAAAACGTAGAGACGCTTGCGTGCTCTCTTCACAATATAGTCGCAGTGAATAGACCACGACAAATTGTGCGACAGATGGACACCGAGCAACTTATAAAATGGCACCTGCTCTATCATACTGCCTGACATTTGTAAGGGAGGTAGGTCGGAGGGCTTATACTGTAAGAAATCTATACGTAACTCTTATATTTTATTTTCTTTTACACAAGCACTTCTATCAGTCTTGAAGCTTCGTCTACTCAAATACCGAAAAAGGTGTTTGCAATGTTTTCTCTTGCTGTCCATCTAAGATTTAAAGGTAACAAATATATAACAAAGTAACTCTACAACTGGTTATACAGGTTTAACCAATCAATTCCAGTAGCATGGCTAATCTACTAAGGAAAGAAGAGGCCATAGAATTTGAAGAATGTATAAGTATCAACAGTCTATCAACTTCAGCTAAGAAGTAAGTTGGTCTTCGTTTAGGCATTTACACCTAACTGTATAAAAAAATGTAAAAAATAAAAAAGGCTAGAAAGAAATATATTAGGCATCCCAAATGCATTCATGAATCTTGTCTGACGAAAGAATGTGACAAAAAGTACCTTTTGAGTGGCCAATTTCACTTCTCTCTTGCCCATTAATTTCAAATTGAAGTACTACAAGTACCACAGGATAATCAAAATGAAATTTGACTCAAGGATAAAATTGAACTACAACATATAATGCTAATATATAGTTACCTCGTTCCCGAAGGCTCGATAAAACCTAGACTTTTACCCTGGTGGAATACGAACTCGTGTTTTCTTGTTCTTAGTAAGGGCGTTACCCTGTCGTTGCAAAGTGATATTTCCGGGCAATGTTCAGAAGTATGTTTTGGTTTTGTTTTACTCGTCCATTTGATACCATCTCAGACCTGTGACTCCTCTGAGAAAGGGGTTTCATTATGTGCTCTCTCTGTTGCGCCGTTAAGTCGTGGAATAGCATCATGCCAGTCCATGGGTTTCAAATAATCCTCATCACCAACATCTGCACCGGACATATCACGGGCGATCTTGTCCTGATAATTTCCATAGCTATATTGAGCATTCTCGTAATGCCAATCCACAGTCTTCTCATCATTTTTCTCAAAATTAAGTCGAGAAGTCGCGTAATGCCCAACCACGGGTTTCATGTACCTTATCTCATTGGAAGCTGTAGCATCATAGTTTATCTTTCCTTGAGCATTCATCACCTCAAGCATCATGTAATTTTTTTCACTTTTCGCCAAGTTTTTGTTCTGCTTTAATCGTTGCTGACCTTGACCAACAAGAAACATACTTTCATAGCGAGGGTCTTGACCTCCTCGAAGAGCGGCGTAATGTTCTCTTGAACTTTCATTGCGTATAACTTGACGACTAGGCTCGGCTTCTTGAGTTAACGTCTCTGGAGCATAGTTAGCCGTATTTTCTGGGATTATATCGTATATTGGTTCTTCTTGATATGCTGGGTTTTCGAACTCACTTTCCATTTTTGTAACTTTAGGCTTTCTCATATTTTTCCTATAGGAAACAGTAGCATACGTGTAGTTGCCTCAATATTTGTGCTTTATTCGACGACAATCATTGGAATATCTTCAAAATGCAACACAGGTCGAGGGTAACTCTATCGTCTTAAAATATATTTTCACTAAAAACTCGGATAATGTGGAAAGACGGCTAGAATAAGGGTATGTCTGATGCCTGACATTAAACACGGATACACTGACTGGCGATCTAAATTGTGTTTATGACAACCTATTTGTTGCTGACAGCATTTTGGTCCCTTCTCCTGTTATCATAAAATAATCATCTTTGTTGTTTACAATCGTCATCATCAAAATAGTTTTTTTAGTGTCTGCAATGTAGGGAATTAACACTACTTTGATGAAATTCTGTTCCACCTTCCTTCTTGGTTTTGAAGACAAGAAATAGGCTTTCAGTCCACTGTTTATTTCGTCTACCTAATGTTAGATCAAAATATGTTACCTTCTCATTTTGTAAACTACAAATCCCATCAACATTGCCATGACAACAAAGGTGACGCTAACTCCAGCAGCGATGGGTCCTACAGATGGACCTTTTTCGTCAGTGGATCTTGCTCCGTCTTCAGGCTGACTTGGCTTTTCTACAACCGAAGAAGCAAAAGCTTTAACAAGCACGAGAGAGAGGGAGAGAGAGTTAAATGACACATTAAAATTCATTAGGTTGCAAAATATTAAAAGACTTGGTCCAAACATTCAGCTTTTTACAGGAGCCTTTACATGAAATTCAAAAGATGCAATTATATTAATAGAGAATTTTGTTAAATGTTCTGTGAAAATTTCCATTTAATCACAGAAAAAATACATAATAAAAGATTAAGACTCCAAACCGCTCTGTTGACAATGGAGACTGCAACAATAATTACCTCGGTAAGAATTACACATTAACTTATTTTCCAAAGCTTTTCCTTTAAGAAACCGTTAGTTCTCGTTAGTGCAGTTCGGTACCTGTGGGTCTGTCCTCAACTTCCTCTTTGTGCTCGACAGATTGGATTGTCCCGCCAACAACGCTTTCAATGCTTTGTTTATATTCTTCGACCATCTGAATAATGTCTTTGGCTGGCGTGACTTTCGGTGCATTTTCATCATAAGAAGGGAATAAAACGGCAAATTCGACATTTAAACTATTGACTTCGGCAAAAGATGTCCCAACGATAATTACGTCTGAGAACTGGAAGTATGCTCCTTTTTCTGACCGCTTAGTTCTCCCTGTCGGGCTGCAAGAAACAATCAGGCGTTAAGTTAAATCAGTAATTTGCCAAATCACCGGTGAAAATTTGTCTTGTTAAAGAAATAGTATATATTTTGATATCTTTCGCACATTTAAGGCCATGACACTAGGCTATGACGCTTAGGCTATGGTCTTTAACACTACCTGGGCTATTTTCAGTGTAATTTTCACATTCAATTACTTTAAAGCAAGAGAGGATAAAGGGAACAGAGAAGGCATCCCCCATACACACCCTATTCCATAGGTAATTCGTCTCGAGTTATTTTTAGAATCGGGATAAAGTTACCTCGCGCGCTGCGTGGATGTTTCGTGGAGGTTTTGCATGACTAAACGCCATGCAAAACATGTCGGGGGAAAGGCAATGAAAGCGTAAAGAGATCGAGAGCATTCCTGAATATTGAAGCGAAATGAGTCGGCGCTCACCTGGGAAAAGGAATCGCTGGACTCTTTTACAGCCCGTGAAATCAGTTTAACTCGAAGTTGGCGTAACCTCAGTGCTTTAATAAAATGAGAAATTTCGCCGGTCTATTGAAACCGGTCGTTTGTACAATAAGGCAAGTAGGACGCCAAATGTTATTTTTGTTAAATAATAAGAGACTAATAAAAGAATAAATATCAAACCAGAAATTGCTCTCTTCAAACTGTAAATTATAAATGTTCCTGATAGAATATTCAGTGTGTTAAGGATTTCCCTGCTGTAGTGTTAGCTCTATACAAGAGAGGAAGGGCGATTCTTTTTTTAATTTCCGTTTCGCTGACACAGCTTTAGCAGAAATCTCTCTGTAGTCGTTTTCGTCGACAAAAGGAATAGCAATATCGCTCTCCGCGTCTTCCGCCATTTTGTTCTGCGTCAATTCGTGAAGGACCCGTGGCTCTGAGCATGGATCATCCACGCGGAACACATTCGCGCTATGTGATTGGCTGTTGTCTAATCCCTCTTGAGATCTGTGGTGTTAAAAATAACTCGAGACGAATTACCTATGGAATAGGGTGTGTATGGGGGATGCCTTCTCTGTCCCCTTTATCCTCTCTTGCTTTAAAGTAAATAGTCTTTTTCATATTTTATCTGTTGCTACTGGCTGTTTTGTTTTGATTTGTTTTGTTTTTTGCCGTTTAAGGATATAAAGGATGTATTTTTAAGTTATATTCTTCATATCAGAGTTGTAATTCTTGAAGTGTTATTTTTACCTTTGTGTCTATGATTCTTACTCTGTTTTGAGGTAAGAAGTTGTTCAGTTAATTTGTTTTTGTTTAGCTTGTGAGATCATCCGCCCGCATTTTATCCAACCCCGGGTTGTCCCTCTTTCTGTACATATCAGTAAAATTGACGTCAATTGTATTGATATTAGTAGACATCTTCCAAATGTGATCAAAGTTCGCTGGTTATGAAGAATTATCCACGGGAATTTTAAGGAAATCAGAAATACCCTGGGAGAATAGCCCACATTTCGCTACGTTACCAACATCACTACGTCGAATGAGCACAGAAATTCCATACTTAACGTATCAACCAGATATTGGTTGTTTTTCGTCATCACTATGGACTTTCCGCGCCCGTACCCATTTCCCGGGGTAACCTGTGATCGCTAAATTAGATAGAACTTTAGCCCGATCACTCAGTGAAGTCTTAAACTAGTAGAAAGGTTCCCCTACATTGAGAATGCTTACTCTACACAATTGAACACTGCCTGATATCGCTCCTTCACACAAAAACGGTCGCCAAAATAAAAATTGCATCGGTCTTGGATAGCTAATGGCATCTATCAAAGGCCTTTCAGAAAGCTCTTGACTCGATGCCACATGAACGCCTTTTGGCAAAGATACACGGATATGTTATCCGAAGTCCTTTTCTGTCTTGGCTTCGTGCTTCCTAACAATTATCGATAACAGAATGCCATAAGCGAGCTTGAGCGACGACGACGACGACGGCAACGAGAACGTCAAGCGGTCAACGTCAACAACTTTTCACGTGCATCACTGTTTTTAAAAATTTCTTTGCCGTCGAAACATGACCACGACGTGACACTTCCAAATTTTCTACTTTGTGGAGAACGTGAACACAAGACAAGGATTAACTAATACCATTCTTTAAATTTCAACTCTAGAAAAAATTAACTAACACTTGACAAACTGAACGACATGGAATAAGAGCGATAAATTTTGAAAGAGCGCGGATTCACTTTTTAAGAGACGTTTTCGCCTCTGTTGTCGTCGCCGTTGCTTAAACGAGTCATAACAAATGGGGACCGTCTCCTGAGACTTCGAAATCAAGCACCCTGCTTACAGTCACCAGTTTTTTAATCTATTCTTTAAGTTTCTTATGAACACTTACAAGTACAAGTACCCTTACGACAAAAGATATTACGTCCACGTTTCTCACCCTACACTGATAATTTCCTACTCCAAATCCAGATATATGTATGTATATATTTTATTTTGCTCAATACTATAAAGTCAGGTCCGTGTCTACACTTGCATGTTTGTGGCCATTCAGACTGCTGTCTGTCGCGCTAAATTTTTGGTAAATCAAAATTTTTATGGGCTATTGAAAGTCAGAACCCTTTAACAGACTTATATCATACCTTGTGCAAATTCTGCTTTTGCAAAAGAAGTTAGAGCAAGCATCTGCAATTGCTATTTGAAACGATCTCTGGTTCCATTTATCCTAAAGCGGATGAAATGGAAGAAAGGTAACATAATCTGTTAAATTTAATAAACATAAGGCTACTTTACATTTAAAGAAACAAATCAAATCTCATGAAGTAGTAAGTAGTAATCAAGTGGAAGGAGATTTAACTAAATAAGACGCTAATTATAACAAATATTTGGAAATAACCTTTTTTGCTTTATGTTGTATTGGTCCAACGATTAATAAATGCTGATAGTAGAGTGACAATAGTCTAAATGTGATCTGACATGAACTATGCATGTAAAGCGCGTTAAGGGTATTGCTAGAAATGTTCTTTAAGTACAGTTTCTGCCGGTATATGAAGCCAAGCATTTTTATATTAAAGGAGCAACTACAATTCAAAAGCGACTTGTTTTAGGGATTCATATTTTATATACGTATTGTTACTATCTTGAATACTTTACTTAATAGTGTAGCACTTTTCTAATCACCTTCAAAGGCAAACTAAAGACTTTCTTTTTTGAACGATTACAGTCAAACCAGGTGAAGCGTTCCCGTCTCTAACGAACCAATAAATTCATTAACAGAAAAATTATTTCGTTTGTTGATTCAATAATCCATTCATAAAATAAACAATCCAATATTCATATTTAGCCTCGATTCCATAATCGAATGTTGTTTCGATTACTATTTTTTGAAAAAACTACGCGTTTTTTTCTTCTTTTTTTGTAAGAGTCGAGTGCGGGCGAATTGTGAAGTTCAAACCCAAACAAACTGTTACGTGTACGCCATTTTGCTCCAGTAATCAGTGCAACGGACCTGACCTTTTAGAAAACACGATAGTCAAACTGAGGTCAGTGTATGTGTGGTGATTGGTGGATTTCGATCCCCGGCCTTTGTCAGTTTCTTTGCGTTTGCGGTCTGTCTCTTCTAGCTGTTATTTTGATTAAAGGCAATTAAAAACGCAATCGTAAACGGCAGGAAAAGGGAAGCAAATACGATTGAACTCAACAGACAAGAATAAAGAACAGGTAGATTTTGTTCATAAACCAAATCAACATTTAATTATTGAATCGAGGTCCAATTTGTCTGTTGGATTATTCATTTTATGAATGGATTATGGAATCAACAAACGAAATCATTTTCCATTAATGAATTCATTAGTTTGCTAGCCACGGGAACGCTTGACCTGGTTTGACTGTAAGAGCAATATTTGATCAGGACAAAAAAGTCATAAAGCACTTGTTAAGAGTGGTTGTCTGAGAAAACCGGGCAAAATGTTAAAAATGTCAACGGAAGGGGGTCAACAGAATAAGCTCATACTAACATCATAGATAGGTTAGGTGGAGTAATGGACAAATATAATAAACATAGATTCTTCACTGCTCTCGTATTAGAGATACGATCATCACTTTATTTGACCCCCTCGGTCCCCATTTTTGTAAGCAAATTTTGACCATTTTCTGAAGCTCACAAACTCCTCAAAATTAAACGAACGAAGTTCATCTTTTGTGTGCGATACAACAAGACACAAGACTATCTTCGAAAACCATAAACGTTGTTAGGTAGCTACGGGCAAGACTAAAACTTTCTTATATTTCCTGACCTAGACTCGGTGTCTGCAAGCGAACCAAAAATCGGTCGTTTTTTAATTGATCTGTAGCGCACAACTAAAAGGATGATAAAAATCTGACAGCCAAATTGCAGTTACTGTCATCCATGTTACCAAAACACTAATAATCATTTTGGCTTGTTGGAACAGGGAGAAATTAGAAAACTCACATTTATCATAGTTGCCAACCTTTTTCTTGAAAATAGGCCGATCCCTTCGTGTACAAGAAATTGGAGGGCTTCATTTAGCGGTGCATAAAAAGCAAACGCAATTTCAACTTTCAATAGTAAATTATAAACAAGATAGTACTTCCACAAACATTATCAGCTACTTGCTCCAATATTACTTCTGTTTATTAAATTTTGTTTGTTCACTTCTGGGTTGTCATTTTTTTTGCGGAGTGAATGGGGTGGAGAATGGGCTATTAACCTGCGATCAGGCAGTCCTTCTTATCTTTCTCTTTGGGAGGCGAAAATGAAAATTAAGATCTCCTGATCGTAGGTTATGGGTGATCAACTCGAATTGCTTCATCCACGCTTCCTTTGGAGTTATCCCGTGAATGTGGATAACATTCACCTTATGGCTTACTGGGAATCAATTCACCTTGTTTCATAGCTTTATGCAGGAGCTCATTTTCAGGTCTGTAGGTTTCGCGGTCTGGTTTGTGGGACTTATAACTAAAGGTATTTAAAAGTCGCGACAAAGTTGTTCTAAAAATAGTGTGGTTAGTAAAGACGCCGTGACACGACTTCATAGAAGCTGCTCGCTTCGGGTTATGGGTGATTAACTCAAATTACTTCATCCGCTCTTCATTTTGAGTTATCCCTTGAGTGTTGATAACATTCACTTATGGCTTACCAGGAACCAATTCACCTCCTAATGAATTTTCTTCTCTATTTCGCTATGGCCAACAGGTTAATTCCAAAAAACTCGAAATACTATTATTGTTGCTTTTTAAAGCGGCAAAAAGTGCTGAACCATTGGATACAACTAGAATATAAAAAAATGGACGCCATCTTAGAAATTCAGTACTCTGGAGGGACAGTTAAAAGTACTTGCCTTGTCTCTAAACGGAAACTAGATGGTCTCATTTGGAGGCGAGACAAACTATGCAAATACAGATCATGAGCTACATACAAACAAAGAGACAAACAGTTATTATCCACGTGCTCCACTCTTTGATTTCTCTTAATTACTCTTGTTAGTTAAATTAAAGGGGGATGGTGACGTGATTAACTTGCCTTATCATTCATTCAAAATATTTCCCCGGTTCTGATTGGCTAAACGCACACGCATAATTCACCATAACCAGCTACTGATGACCAAATTTGGAAGAATTTTGCGTTTAATTAACCGATGACGTCAAAAGTGCAGCTTTCTTGCAGGTTAATGCACCGTTAACCGAGAATACCTGGGGACGACGTTGAGTTGTTTTGGCTGTGAAAACAAAAATGGCGGACATTTCACGCGTTTCGAGAGTAAGAACTAGGCGAAATAATAGCTAAAAACATGGCATGAAGAGCAAGAAGACAACTCGAAGGGCGACATTTGTTATTTGGAGAATACTTGCGTAGCTGAACAACCCTAAACGTACACTATCGAAAATAAAATTAACATCGATGGAGGTAAGCATGTTTTAGCTATGTTTTTAAACTAGGAATTATTTTGAATGAATGATAAAACAATTATTGAATTCGGCTTTCGTATCATATGAACAAATATGGAGGTCTCGGAGGGTGTTTTCCGCCTCAGCCTACGGCCTCAATGGATAACACCCTCCTCGATCTCCATAATTCTTCATAAGATACTCAGCCTCATTCATTAATTGTTAATTAATTCATTCGCTCATTCACTTCATTTTGAGTTATCCCGCAAAAGTCATAGCATTTGCTTCATTCAACCCTTTGGTCTTTAATTTAATTTTAGGATTAGAGGTATTGACGTTTTTATTATACCCGTCTATTGTTGCGTCATTCTCCGATCACCATCCACGTCTGATCATCCACTCGTCTCCACTCGTTTCAAGCACCGAGCTCAGTAATAAACGATGTTGCTGGTGACCCTTTTTCTTCTACCTTAGATGAAACGGTAGGCGCATTCCTTATAGTAGCCTACAGTATGCATGAAGGCTCCGCCCGAAAGGCTACCTCTTTCAGCCATCAGGAATAACATAGGGTGCTTTCCATTATACCAAAATGTTCGGAAATTTTGGTCGAAAAATAAATGGGACGCTTTGGTCTGCGTGGAATTTTCCGGTCAAAATGGTGCACCTCCAGAAGTGGTCCTCTTGGACGGTTGGTCTGGTTCGACCGAAACTTCCCGTTCCACTTCCAAAAATTTTCGTTTCCAGTCCTACTTTGCTAAACAGCAATCAAAATTTCGGCCGAAACGCAAATGAATAGACCTATTCGGCTAACTCAATGTTGTACCCAATTCAAATCTCCCGGGGATAAGATTCTTTGTGTGCTGAATTTGCATTATAATGTGGCATTCACATTTAAATGATATGGAAATTCCTGAAACAAAACGTTTTATTCCCAAAGGGTTTGAATTGGGTACAACATTGAGTTAGCCGAATAGGTCTATCGATTCGATGCGATTGAAAACGCTGTTTCAATAGAACAATGTCGCTCCATTTTCTCTTGATGATTCCACTAATCATGAGTGTTTGGTTTGGCAAACGGAAACCACTCACAGCCTGCGTTGCAGCCGCCGCACACATCTCCTGGACCACTGGTATAGTTGGTCTAGCCTGCGAATAGCCCACGTTCGATATATTAAAATTCTGAGATGACTCCGAGGCTTTCTGGCCATTTTTCTATGTTTGGTTTGGTTTTCTTTGCGCTCAAGTCTCTTCTGGAAATTGCTAGACAATGAAGTCGTGAAAAATTTGCAATTTTGACTCTAAAACCCCGGAGTCACGTTACAATTGTGATATATCGAACGTGGGCTATTAGTGCACAAAAGCTATTGTGCACTAATTCGCAGACCCTCTATACAGCGGTTTCTTATTCTCTAATCAACCAATCGAAATTATCGACCTTAAATGTACTTGCTTGCTTGCTTATTTCGAGCGAACTCGAACTCTATTAACTAGCTTCATCCATTCCTTCCGGTTTCCCATGATGCTCTTCAGTTTAGCAATGCTCAAACCAGTATCATTTCGCAGATGGTCTACATATGTTGTTGCTGGTCTGCCTCTCTTTCTTGCGCCGTGCTTTGGTTCCCAGAGTAGTAGTTCACTTATCACCTCATCCTTTTTTCTCCAACAGTGTCCTATAAACCGCAGCTTCCTGATCATCAGTGTATCTGTAATCTTAGGAAGGTTGCCGTACAGTTCTTTGTTGGTTTTATGCTCCATCCAGAAAACTCCAAGAACTGCTCTGAGCATTCTTGCGTACGTACCATCTAGTCTATTCCTCATCTTTCCAGTCATCGTCCCGCATTCAGCACCATAAAGCAGTACACTTTCAACTGTGGCCCGAAAGAAACCTACTTTGAAATGTTTTTTTAGGTTTGATTTCCACATTTTCATCATTTTGTTGAGTGCACTCCAAGCTTGTTCAATTCTTATATTCATGTCCTTTTCACTGGATTGTATCCACGAACTAAGGTATTTGAAGTTATCTACTTTCTTCAATTTGTTCCCTCCCAGTGTGACAAGATCTCCTACAGGTTGATTGTACAGCATGTATTCCGTTTTCTTGTAGTTAACATGCAGACCCACTGTTTTCGCAGCAACCTCCAGTCTTAATAAGAGAAGTTGTGCCTCTTCAAGATAGTCAGAAATTAGGGCAAGATAATCCGCGAAATCAGTGTCGGTGATGTATGTTGCTACGTGACGGGAGCTCTGCCGTGGTGTAAGCGTGAACCCAGTGTGTTCTTCTCTAGTAGCTTCTCTAAGGGCATGATCCAGGGCTATGATAAATAGGAAAGGTGCGAGTGTGTATCCTTGCAGAATTCTCGCAAGAATCTCAAAGATTTCCGTATCACAATCAGGAGTTATCACCTGTGCTTCGGTGTCTTTGTAGAGTATACTGATGGCATCCACTATCTTTGTTGGAATTCCATATGCCTTCAAGATCTCCATCAATTTCCCACGATGTATCGAATCAAAGGCTTTACTGAAGTCTACGAAAGTCAATATTGCAGGTAGCTGTTTTTCTTTTATTCCCTCGGTGAGCCTACGCAGAGTTAAAATTGGCGGTGGTGTTGACCTACCCGTACGAAATCCATTTTGGTTCACTCTGAGCAGAGGATTCAGATGAGATCTTATTCGATCTAATAGAATCTTGTTATAGATTTTCGCGGCTGTTGCAGTTAGGGATATACCACGATAGTTTCCTGTGTCACCCAAGTCACCTTTCTTTGGTAGTGGTATTATTCCACTTTTAACCCATATATTCGGTCGATCACCATTTAAAGTAACTAAAAATACTTAAACCAACTAAAAAAAGCACATGACCTTATCTTAATGAGATTCTTGTGCATTTTATTAATGAGATAAAGACAAAAGGATATGACGTCCTCGGTGTTAATTTATTCCCCCACAAGTTAATGACATTTCCCCGCAAAAAAAGGAGTAAGCGGTCCCTACTATACTACTGAGCTCCAGTGTCTAGATTAGTAGTTCGGGGTTTAAAGCCGTCGGAAGGAGTACTTTAACACAGTGTAAACGTTTTGAGAAAAATGAAAACCTGATAAGAGCAGCCTCACGTTTTAACCAGGGCCTCGAATGAAGAAACATTACGACTTCTGTGAGTAAGACCAACAGGCCCTTCGATAACTGCGATAACTACCCGAAACGCATGCATAGCTGACCAAGATCTTAACCTTTCCTTGTAATTTTTTCCCTTGCTTTGCAAGAGCGACTACAAATAAAGTCTGGTCATCACAAAAGATAGGGTAACGCAAATTTACTTGAATAGCATACTGATACTGGCGACTTATAAACTTCCTTTTTTTCTGACAGTCCTCTTGTGACGTTGTGCTGTACCGAGTCGTAAAACACAACTACTGATTTATTTTGCTGTTGTCATCTACTATCCCTGAGTGTTCGCTATTTCGTTTTCTTCTTTAAATGGGGTGTCTGTGTTTCCCTTCAATTAGAACACACTTACTCATTTTACAAGTAAAGACTTTTATCATAAAACACAGTGAGATAGGAATGAACTGTAACCACGTTCCTTTCAGTTAATCTCTTTTCATAGAGCGTTTCTACAAGAAAAGATTACCGGTACGTAAGGTAAGGGACAGGAGGGGCTAGGGTAATAATATGTAACCTCCCCTACCAACAAAGGCAAGCTAGCTCTTACCCCTCCTAGTCACTAAAAAATTATGACCAACCCCAACTCCCCACTGATATTTGAATGAATTCACCCCTATTACCGTAACGTTTTAAGACGTCTGCAAAGGAAACAGTACCTTAAAACTACCTTCGACAGAGCGGTCCATTTCAGGATAGGCCGATTGCGCATAGTCTTCTGAATCGTCTTGTGAATAACTGGATGCAGCTCCCGATTATTTGCGTCACCTAGGAGCCCATAACCCGGAGCGAGCAGCTTCTATGTAGTCGTGTCACGGCGTCTTCACTAACCACACTTATTTTTAGAACAACTTTGGCGCGAATTTTAAATACCTTACAAGTCCCACAAACCAGACAGCAAAACCTACAGACCTGAAAATCGGCTCCTACGCAAGCGATTAGACAAGGTGAAATGGCGTCCGAGGGGGGTCAAATAAAGTGATGCTCGTATCTCTAATCCATTACTCCAGCTAACCTATCTATGATGTTAGTATGAGCTTATTCTGTTGACCCCCTTCCGTTGACATTTTTAACATTTTACCCGGTTTTCTTAGACAACCACTCTTAAGTTTGGTATGTCTGATATGGAGAGATGATTTTTCTTATAAAGTAAAAACCACGAGTAAGAACCTGCCTTTTAAGAAGTTTGCCAGTTATCCCCCCTCTACACAAAAACCTGTTTGCGGGTTCTTATTTTCTAAAATCTATATAAAAAATTCTCTACACTTGTGTTAGGGGTTTTCACATGACGTCACCAAAATTCAAACTAAGAAACTGTCGACTCTTCTGAGTTTCATGAGATACTACAGCAAAGGGTTCTTCGTTTTGCGATAGAAGACGCTTGAATTTCCAGGCTTTTGCGTGACGTGGCATTTTGTTGGCGGCCGAGAAAGCTGTCATCGATTTTTTGAGATTTTGCTATCTAAACATTCCCTGTCTTTGAATAAATATTACTTTAATCTTTATCAGTTCCTTAAGCGATTAATTCACGCAAAGGTAGGAAAATTCAAAAACAGATGTTTTTGTCGGTTTTCGGCGGCCATATTTGTGCCCCTCAAAGGGACACCAAAATGGCGTCTCCATACAAAGCGTCATAAATTTTCCTAATATCTTGCATATATGAGTTATCACACAGACCTGATTCTTGGCGAGGCTTTTTGTGTATTTATCTTTATTTCATTTCCCAGATTCTGGACTTTCTGTATTGAGTGGTTTGCATTTTTATTTTTGATGGCGTGACAGTGAAAACAAAGAATACTTAATATACAAATAAATAAATATACTAGTTATTTCAAGTACCTCGCCTAGAAGTGTTAATGTCATCTCCAACACACTTGAAGCTAAAGAAGGAAACGCGATAGAAAGGGACTTTGTTGTTAATAATAAATACATAACGTTTTTAATTCAATTTTCAGGTATTAAAAAGCCAACACAATATGTTGCCCCGCTTCCCACGTATGGGTGTTCAAAGCTAAGTTAGTGGATCATTGCAGCGCTACCACACTCTGAGGCCATGTTTTCGAATCCCGTTGAAGCTTCGAAATATATTTTTGCAACTCCTTTTAACACTGCTGTTACATTGCGACGATTATATTTTCATTTACAGTCAAGCAAGGTCAAGCGTACCACCCTATATTCCGTTAATGAATTTATTATTAAAAAAGTTGAATCCGTTGGAAGATGCAAATTTCAGATTCATCTCTGCATTCTTGCATGCGTAATGAGCCGTGAATTCACAAGCGAGGCAGTTATAAAATTTCTACCACGTCAGTTTCCCTGAATTTGACTTAAATGTCTTCGAAGCAATTTTATCCATTCAAAGATTTTCAATCTGACCAAATACAGAGAAGTTCTCGTAAATATTCTCTGCTCATTATGCAAGCAGGAATGCCGATTTGAATTTAACGCGAGCTGCGGGAACAACTAACGGATTCATTTTTCAAATAATCAATTCATTAATAAAATTTTAGGGGATACGCTTGACCTGCCTTGACTATAAATTAGTATGCAGTTCACATCACATTGCATAGTTCATAGCAGTATCTGATAAACCGTTCAAAATTGATTTATAAGACAATAATACGAATATTTTCTACCAATGCATAGATTCTTACCTGGAAACATATAAACCAACGAAAACCACTGTCAATAAGCGAGGGTGGCATCGGAGAAATATCCTCCTTGTGCGATCGAACGGTAGGTACACCTCTTCTAATGGCTTATCTCGATGTTAAAACACCTTTTGAACTCTTATTAATTAAGAAATTAACCATGACTTACCGACGTTAACAGAACAGTCGTGCCATGCAAAGAACCTCTCACAATTGCAAAAATACCCTGGAACTATACAGGTTCCTCCATTCTTGCACGTAGTAAATTGACATGAAGGTTGAGGCAATGGTGTAATTGGTGGCACTAATGGTGATAGTGATGGCAAGACTGATGGTAAAACAGAGGGCGAAGCTGATACTGACACTGATGATGAGTCAGATGGTGAAGCCGATAATGAGTTGGATGGTGAGTCGGATGGTGATCCTGATTGTGACGCTGTCATTGAGACAGATGGTGATACTGATAGTGACACCGATATTAAGACGGATGATGACACTGATGATATAGATGGTAACACTAATGGTGACATTGAAACAAATGGTGACACTGATGGCAACACTGATGATGACACTGATGGTGATACTGATGATGAAAGAGATAGCAACGCTGATAATGCGACGGATGGCGATTCTAATGGTAGCACTGACGGTGATGACAGTGATAAGGAGTCGGACGATGAAACTGACGATGAAGCTGATGGCGATACTGGTGATGACACTGATAGTGAGATTGATGATGACAATGACGGTGATACTGATGGCGATACTGATAATGACTTTGAGGGTGACACTGATAACGACACGGACGGGGACAGTGATGGCGACACTGATAGTGAGATTGATTGTGACAATGATGGTGACACTGATAAAGACTCGGACGATGAAACTGATGATGAAGCTGATGGCGATACTGATGATGACACTGGTAGTGAGATTGATGATGACAATGACGGTGATACTGATGGCGATACTGATAATGACTTTGAGGGTGACACTGATAATGACACGGACGGGGACAATAATGGCGACACTGATAGTGACATTGATGGTGACAATGATGGTGACACTGATGATGACATTGATAAGGAGGCGGATGACGAAACTGATGGTGACACTGATAACAAGTCGGATGGTGAAACTGATAGTGACACCGATGACGATACTGATGAAGACACTGATAATGAGATTGATGATGACAATGATAATGAGGCGGATGGCGACAATAATGGTGAGATTGATGGTGACACAGATTGTGACACTGGTAAGGAGACTGACGGCGAAAGAGATGGTGAGATCGAAGGTGACAATGATCGTGACACTGATAAGGAGTCGTATGGTGAAACTGATTGCGATACTGATAATGAGATCGATGGTGACGCTGATGGTGACACTGATGAAGACTTCGATAAGGAGACTGATTGTGACCCTGAAGCTGACACTGATAGTGACGCTGATGTTGAAACTGACAGTGAAACTGGTGTTGACGTTGATGTTATAGCTAGAAAGAAGAAAGATGAGGACCACAATCACTGAAATTTGAAAGCTACAGGGGTTTTTAGGGTCTGCCATAAGGCACTTTACGCTGCGTTTATTTTAGTGAATGCCAAAAACGGAATCCTGTAAAATTTGGCAATCGTGGTGTTACGTAATTTAATTAAGTGGCAGACTTTATCTTAAGCTGAAGAGAGGGATATACAGTCTTTAGCGATCGCTCGTAAGTCATATCGCTGTGTAAAGCGATAGTCGACTGAATTAGTTACAGCGGCGAGATATGTCATCAGCTTGGGTTAGCAATAATAACGAAATGAAATAGCAAACCAACTAAGAAATTCTTTGTAGAAGTCTATACTTACGAAAACTGAAACAAACTTCATCATGTGCCAAATGATCAGGGCAGGAGCAACCATACCCATCTGGTCTAAGAAGACACAGATGGGAACAACCACCGAATGAAAACGAACAAGGATGATCTGTTTTTAAGACAAAGAAGAGAAAGGTTAGTCCTCTCTTCTAAACCTTACCTCCCACAACAGTTATTTGGACATAAACTTATCGCCAAAAGCCTTAGGAAGTATCTAATGTCTAGAATGTACGGCTAACAGAAACTGTGGAGAAGGGCGTCATAAATTTATCGTTATCTTTATTTTCACTTTTCTCCAGACATCAACATAATATTAGTTAAAACAATTCATTTCAAGGTCAATAAATATGTCGTTACCTGGAAGGGATTGATTTTTGTCAAACGCATGTATATCCATAGGCTGGTTCAGGCCACTAACAACTACTGTAGGGTATTGAGGAGATGCCTTTTCTGTTCTTAAAACGCCCTTCTTTGTCCAATCCGTCCAATACACGTAATCTTCCAGCAGAGTCAGACCAAAAGGATGTGGTAAAAAGAGTGAAAGTATTGGCAATCTTGCTCGCGTGTGACGTACTAAGTCATAATATTCCAAGGCTTGGTACCCTGCGTCCACCCAGTACAGCCAGCTATTTGTGTAATCTAATGTGAGACCATTCGGCCAAAGAAGGTTATTGCTAGCGAGGAGACCTCTGTTAGACCCATCCATGTTGGCAAATTCGATTTTTTGCACGACGCCCCAGTCGCACCAGTACATCAATCTGTGAGAATCAATGAGAATCTCAAAATGCAGTTTAGGTATAGAGCCATGACACTTGACATTCCTGAGGATATCGTGCTATTGTATCAAAGCTCTATCGTCACTCAAATTAAGATAATATATGTTGAATTGTATTAATAGTTAACGCTATTTGAATTTCAGTTTAAACTCAGTCATGACCACAGTTTGATAAATATTTTGCTGTATTCAAGAGTCTCCACAGCCAAACCCTCTTTCGTGTCTATCAAACAGCTAGAGATATTCTGGAATGATAAGCGTTGATGTCCCTAGCTTTCCTATACAAGGTAAACATCAGTCTCTTACCCTTTGTAGACATCAAGAATTATATCTCTTGGCTTATCAAGATCTTGTTTTATCAGTATTTTCCTCATTGATCCATCTAATTTGCTAACTTCGATGGTATTTAAATCGCTGTCTGTCCAGTAAATATTTCTACCTAAGGAATCAACAGCTAGTCCCTCCGGAGAAGAAACATTCACTGATAGAATGACTTCCGGTGTGAAACCAGTCACAGATACTCTAGATATTGTCTTAAGGCCCACGTCAGTCCAGTAAATCATGTTGTCCGTTATGTCCATATCAAGAGCAACAGGATGCATCACTTTAAAATGCGGTGGTATTGAAACAGGAAATGCTTCCGAATCTGTCACATCCAAGGACTTGATAAATACGTATGCATTCCCAGCGTCAGCAAATAGCAAATATTTCTTGGCATCTGTGAAGAAAGAGTACTCGGAAATTTGATATTATGCAAACGTGATATTTAACAATTATTCGTCGAGCCCGAATGGGCTCTGAGTCAATAGCCTTTGAGGCAGAAGGCCGAATGGGCTCAGAGGCTATGAGGGCGAGAGGAATAATTGTTTTGGTAAAATCCAACTAGTTGGTCAAAAATATCGAGACAGAACAACTTTAGCTAGCGAAACGCGAATCAGCCGCCTGTGGTTGGTTTTTAAAGCCGGCTGTTTCGCTACCAGTGGGCTATAACATATAGCCTAGTAATAGCTCAACCAATCAGAACGCAGCATTGATAATAGACCACTAGTTGGATTTTACTAATAGCTGATGCAGTATATACTGTCTTATTATATAGCTATAATAGTACACGCGCTCTAATTGGCGTCTAAGCGGGCAGCTGTCCCAGGCATATACAATCTGTGTTTAACTTCATAGTGAACATCCTTATGGACATTCATGCATGTTATGGTCAATTGACAGGTGTCAAAAGGGTATCCGCTGGTCCGTCTGCCACTCTCGGTTAATAAGTGGCCAATTATTTACGACCTAATAAGGGTTGTCTTCACCAGAACCCAGTAAAGTTAACTTTACTGAGACAGTCACAAATATTCTGGAGTTTGTTGAGATACAACAAGTACCGTAATAAAATAAAAAATACAATTTTCTCATCAAACTTGTCAGGAAAAAATACTTCCATGACAAACTGCTTTCTGTCAGTTCAGATTTGAGAAAGACATGGTCAGTTATAAAACAGATTATCTCCAAAAGGGAACCTGAGCAACGTTTCAATAACATGAAAGATAGTTCTGGTTCATACTCAAATCCTACTCAGACAGCTACAAAGTTTAATAATTTCTTTGCTAATGTTGGTCCTTCTTTAGCAAATATAATCTCTCCCACTCAAATTACTCATAGGAAGTTTCTGACTGGTCATTATGCAAAGCGTTTCTATCTTAACCCAACTTCTCCCTCTGAGGTTGCTAATATAGTCCATTCTCTAAAAAATAGTAAATGTGAGGGTTTTGATGGCCTCTGTATTTCCCCTATAAAAGAAAATATTGATTTAATAGCTGCCCCTTTGTCTCTTATCTGTAATCTGTCATTTTCTCAAGGTGTTTTTCCTGATAAGCTCAAAACAGCCGAGATCCTCCCCATCTTCAACTGTGCTGACTCTTCCTTGTTCTCTAACTACAAGCCTATTTCTATTCTCCCCTGTCTTTCCAAGGTCTTCGAAAAACTCTTTTACTTATCAGATTGTCTGGTTTTCTTGCAAAATTTGACATTCTTAGTCATCATCAATATGGCTTCAGACCACATCATTCTACAACTATAGCTATTCGTGGGACCTATTCCTCTAGCTTGGCTTACCAGCTATGTAGATAACAGTATGTTATTGTAAATGGTCATGTTTCTGTTCTTGGCCCTTTACTATTCCTCTTATACATTAATGATCTTTTTCTTTCTTCAAATTATCTTTCATTTATTCTCGAGCTCTTAGCTGATGACACGAACATTTTTCTTCGTCATAAAGACTAGGCTACTTTAGCAAGAATGGTTAATCAAGAGCTTTCTCATGTCTCCTCCTGGTTTAACGCTAACAGGGAGCTTACTGTTCATCCTGATAACTCCAAATTCATCATCTTCCATCCACGACGTAAACATGCCCAGATCAATCCTTTAATACTAAACATCTTAATAAATAACACCCCTATTGCACGGGTACAGGAACATAAATTTCTTGGAATTGTTATTGACGAAAACCTTTCATGGAAACCGCACATCACTTCTATCTGTGACAAAGTTGCTAAGGTTATAGGAATTTTCTCTAAATCGAGACGATGCTTACCCTTGGTCATCCTGAAAACCTTATATAATTCCCTATTTCTACCTTATATCAACTATTGTAATCTCATCTGGGCATCTACATATACCTCCTACCTTGAACCCGTCTATCTACTCCAAAAGAAAGCATTGAATTATCAACTTTTCTTTTCCACGAACACGTTCTAAGCCTCTTTTCTCTACGCTTAATATTCTTTCTCTCCATTCACTCTAAAAATTCGATGTTTCTTGTTTTGTATTCTCACACTTAAATCTACCTGCCTCTCTTTCCTCGCTCCTCCACTTTAATCGTGATTTTCATGATTATCTAACTCGTTCTCGTTTCAACTTGCATAAAATGTCCCTCAAGTATCAATCTGTTATTAGTTCTCAAGCCCCGATTATTTAGAATGATATCCCCTTGACTGTCCGTAACAGCCTTACATGTACTACAGTATTAACTTTAAAAAGAAACTAAAACTTTACTTTTAAAGCCTGAATTCAATTAGCGCAGGATTCTCATAGTTTGTTGTTACTTTATTTGTCACTAGTTTTGTCTCTGTTATAAGACTACATGCATATAAACTTACTTAATTTCAGTTTTGTATCTTGTTTTAGTTTTGTAATTTAGCCTACAGTCTTCATTTCTATATAACATAACTTCTGTCATTCTTACCACAGGCCGTATAAGCCCCCGGCTTTGGCCTTACTGAGTTTGTACTGTATGAGCGATGGAATAATAAAGTTAAAGTTGAGTTTAAGTTAAAGCTTATAATATAAACAACGTTATCCTGTGCCGGGCTCTCGGTCAGTACAGACAAGCGAAAGAAACGAGCTTTCCCGTCTCTCCCCAGTCCCCACACAGTCGATAGTAGTACAATAGAACCCCGATAACATAAATGACTCGAACTCTGAAAGGAGACGAAAAACAGTTCGAGTTAGCAGTGGTTCGAGTTAACGGGGTCAGTTACAAAATTCAATTAGCCATAGTAAAATTTGATGGCTACTGATTTCTCAGTACTCCATTGTGTAGTGTAGTGCAAATTTAAATTATTTCATTATTTGGCATTTTGGGCATTTTTTTTTATGATAAAACGTGATCTGTTCGTTGCACCAATTAAAATCAAATCGTGTTGACCACTGGTAGTTTTCAGCGTTTTTACCGATTAAGCACTAGGTAATTAGCTGCCACTATGAGGCTAAAAAAGTTGCTTGACTTACTCAAATCGTCTTTCTTTCCTCACGTAGAATGGAAATGGGCTACTGACAATGGAGAACTCTCGGAAATAAACTCCAGAATAATGAATTTTTGAGCATGATAAATGGCTTTGATTTTGTGATTCTTAATGAAACTTGGAGCAATTCTCCAGATATAGATGTAGAAGGATTTAGATTTATAGTTCAGCATTCCACTCAGTCAAATAGTAGTGGCCGTAATTCCGGTGGAGTAATTCTCTTCTACAAAAATGCACTTTATGATTTGATTTCAGTGATTAAAACAACCCAAATTTCTTATCATTTAGAATTGACAGGTCATACATCAAAACTGCGAAAGATATATACATCTGTGGACTTTATATACCTCCGCATAATTCAAAATATTTTAAACCGGAATTATTTGAAGAACTTGAAAAAGACATAGAAAATTTTGCCTCTAGAGGATCTATACTCCTCTTGGAGGACTTCAATGTAAGAACGAGAAAATATCCAGACAGCGTTTGTCACGACGGAAATAACTTGATTACCAATAACCGCTCTGAATTTCCATTACGACCTGCCCAGCGAAATAGCTTCGACAATGCGATCAATAAGCATGGCAAAAGACTTCTTGAAATATGCAAAAGCGCAGACCTCAAAATTCTAAATGGTAGAGTTAGGGGCGACTCTCTAGCGAGAGCCACCTTTCCGGACAAATGGTACAAGTGTTATCGACGACGCTATATGTGACGAAGATTTACTTTCAACTATTACAAACTTCATAGTGGAAAAGCCTTCTCCTCTGTCGGATCACAGTCCAATCTTAACCTGGTTACATGTAAACACCGAATGAGCTTTTCTCATATTAAATCACCACGTGTAAATGACTCTTTAACACATTTACCCAAACAATTTATCTGGGAGAATGAGTCCAAGTATGAATTCAGAGATACTTTACGTGCTCCAAATCTTCAACTATTAATACGAGATTACTTAGATGACAGTACTCCAACTAATGATGAAAACAGCTCTTTAACAAATGTAGAGAACATCATTTTGACTGCCGCAAAACGTTCTCTTAAAATTAAAATCACCGAGAAACGTGGCCGCACTAGGTCTTTTCCAAACAAAAAAATGGTTTGACATGAGCTTCGATAAATTTACGCCAAGAATACCACATGGTATTGACACAGTACAAAGATTTGTTAACCTCAAAAAAGAGTGAATATCATGATACAAAGGTCACTGAGTCGGAAAACTCTACAAACAATTCAGATCAGACAAGGTTTTGGAAAGGTTTAAAGTCGAGGGATGACACCGTTAAACAAAAAGGTGCCCCATTAATATCTGAAGGAAATTGGCTCAATTATTTCCAATCACTACATTCCAATAAACCTCACAATGCTACACAAGAGATGATTACTAATGAGCTAAAGCATCTTGAGATTAGGAAATATCAACCATGCCCCTTAGATTATACGATTACCGAAAACGAAATACGTGCAGCCGTGAACAAATTAAAGAACAAAAAATCTCCTTTTTCGGACAAAATCAAAAATGAAATGATTAAAGCTAGTATTAATGACATAATACCTGTATATTACAAACTTTTTAATTCAATTGTTCATTTAGGTACAATGCCCTCTACTTGGTGTGATGTCCCTAGTACTTTTATCTACAAATCAGGAAAGAAGCAGGAACCGTCAAATTATAGTGGCATCTGTTTTTCAAGTTGCCTAGGCAAATTATTCTGTTTTAGTGTGTACTAAAACAGTACACCGCTATACCATTCCTTATCTGGACATGCGCGCGTTCAAGAGAACCGACGATCCTTTGTAGGAATGACAAGTCTTTCTTACCAAATTTGCAAGTCTTTCCATCTTCCTTTAGGGTGAGGTAACCCGGGCATTCACAAACACTTCCAGAAGATGATAGCAAACAGAGGTGGCTACATCCATCATTATTTATTTGGCAAGAGGAATTACCTGGTAAGTGAAAAAAGCAAAGTGTTTGAGAGATTGCTGTTATATCTCGATATATGCGAGTAGATTTGCAAAACGTAGTGTCTTTTTTGCTGAAATGTTTAATTCTCTTTCATTAGTTATCTTTTACCCCCATAGTAGCTGTCACAAAAGACTACGAGATTTCTTTTAAATCACTTCTTACCCTTCAGTTCTCCTTGCCTCTCTATTTAGTCATATGTGCAATTTTTAAGAGACACTTTCTGCTAAAATCGGTCAAATACAAAATCGTACTAGAAATACTTAACGAAAAAATCTCTCGAAGCTAAAAAGGGTCAGCAGTGAGAGTAAACAGAAACAAGCCAAAGGGTAAAAATACGATGAAAGGAAAAAACTGGAAGTAGCCCCGCGGGGATTTGAACCTGCACTCCTACTTCCTTCAGCGCAAAAAAAGAAGCCATATACCACTGGGCCATGCGACCACTGCACAATTTCAAACTAATAGCATTAAAGTATATTTTTCTCTGTCATCCACACTGTTTGAACCTTGTGGAGCTTTATTTATGTTCAATTCAAAGATACATTTGAGGAAAAATAGCTTAAACGAGTATTTCAAAACCATTTCGCATTATGTCCGTGTTTTTAGTCACTCTCGGGCTTTATAAAGGCCGCTCGATGAACGCAATGGTCTTCTTGGCTGCTCTCGCTGACGTTCAGGTCACCGTTCTTTCGGTGTTAAATCTTCAACGGCAAGGATTTCCAGCCACTTGTCTTATCGGGCACTGTTGTGTTTGCAGCCTGCTGTTATTTGCGTCAGAGATACTTTTGTGATTCGCGAGGCGATTCTCCAACGTACAGTAAACAGAGGATGAATAAAATTAGCCCTAGTTGGTGGCTAACCAGTTGTTTCCTGGAAACCCAATATGCACGATGACGTCATGCTGAATGGCGTCTTTTAGAGTTTGTCTATGCACTTATTGGTGGGCAACTACGGATAACAAACCGATAGAAAGAAAGATTTATGTCCAAAGCGAAATCGCAATCCGCTTGAGAGTCCTCGCGCGACAAAATTATAAACCCGCTTTACTAAAAACAAATCAACTAAAAATTTCTCGTTAACTTTCTGAAGTACTTAAGGTCGTCTCACCTTGTGCAGCATGATCAAGGTTGTATGCATGTATATCCATCGGTCGATTTATGCCGGTTATAAAAGCCGTGACTTCACCACCACTTTCTTTATTGGCTCGATAAACAATGTTGTTACCCCAGTCAGTCCAGAACAAGTAGTCTCCAAGAAGTGTTAACCCAAAAGGATGAGGCAGTGTGGCTGAAGAGCTAATTAGAGTCACTCTCACATGTGTAATAAGGTTCAAATATTCAAGCTTATTGAGGTAGCCATCCACCCAATACAGACGGTTATTTGCTTTGTCAAGCGTCAGACCGTTCGGCCAATGTAGCGAGGAGCTCACTAAAACCAAGCGCTGTTTGCCTGTCATATCAGCTTTCTCGATTTTTGGATTCAAGCCCCAGTCTGTCCAATACATGATTCTATAAAACAACAAAAACTTTACAACAACTACAGCAACAACATTTCGCTTAATCGCAGCAATTATGTTTAATATGTAATAAAATCTTATAAATCTATTACATTGTTTTACTCCAGGTAATAACAATCCATTGACGTTACACGTGTCGGTGGCTAGTGATGGGTATTTACCTCGCCGCTTCGCGGCCTTGTTAAACATACCCACCACTAGCCACCTCCACTTTGGTGAATAATTATTATAGCGGGGCTCCCTCGCGCGCGAAGCGCGCGTGGGACAGAGCCTAATACTCATAAAATATGGTCAACCTCTTTTCTTTTGGTTGTCACGTGACTGACCGAGCGTACGTACGTACGCGTCTACGGGTAGGGTAGGGGAGACTATCAAAAGGAAGGGAGGGGTGTCTTAGGCTTGTCTTGGCAAATCCACATCGTTTACATTGGCCATTCACGATATGGTCAATTGACAGCTGTCAAAACAGGATAGCCACTGACCAGTATCACATTGCCATATCGAGGGCTCATGTGTCAACTCATCAAGGTGACGTGATTTATTTGGAAGCTGTCCGCTGACCAGTTGTTTTACTAGATCGCGATCAATGTTCAATCTCATACTTTCTAGCTAGTTTAAAAGCACAGGAAAACTGATAATGCACACATCCATTGGACATCAATGTTTTCATCAATTGACAGCTGTCAAAACAGGGTATCCGCTGACCAGTATCACTTGACCGTATATTTTTTTCATTCATATGAAATATGTTTTGTTTTTGGGCCGCACAATTAAAATTTTGATTTAAAACTGACCTCGGACCCGAAAATTCAGCCAGCTATTACAGGCAAGACAGTTGCTTTTGACTTTGCTCACCATGGTCACGCGTTGGTTACGATCTACGTCCATTTTTTATGCTCTGATTGGTCAAAATTTGACAGGTGAGCTCATGCGGAAAATTTATGCAGCATCTTGAATCTTGTTTACTTTGACAGCTGAAGCTGAGAGAGTTTTGTGTCAACTTGTGATGTTTTTAACTGTCTTTTTCCACTGGATGCACAAAATGAAATTCAGCTGCTATCAGGAGCCTTCTGTTATTCATGGCTAGTTGGTTTTTGGTTAAGAAATTAATACATCACTTGTCAAAGTCGGGAATCCGATTTCGGATGGCAACGTTTTTGTTTTTCACCTTGCTTGATGCGTAAAGGTTGAAAAGTCTGAAGCGATACTGGCCTTACTTGATACCTTTCAGGAGCTGCATCTCGAATGGTAAGCCTCAGTAATTATTGTGTTTGATGTTTGTTTTTTATATCTAATTTAAAGAAGTCGAGCGTAGTTTATGCGGCTATGTAGTTTATGCACGTTTGTAAGATTTGAGACAATTTGATCTGACCAAGAATCAGGTAAACTTGATATAAGCTTACACAACTTTAAAAAGTCTTTAGACATTTTCTCACCGCAGATAGAAAGAAAACGTTCCAAAGAACATTTAGTTATAATTCTGGCGGTAAAAGAAAGCTTTGAGCGATTTTCTTGCCTCGAGTTCATCTGTGAAAAAAGTAAATACCGGAAAGCCGGCTTAAAACATAAACTTAAACTTTAAGCTTGAAGACTCAAGATTTTTAGAGACACTTAAATATTTGTCTTCGTGAATGAAAAATGTTGTCTCTGTATATGTTTCGCCGAATTATATTTCCTTTATTGATTGTTGGTAGTCTCTCTTGTAATTTTAATCGCTGTGGCGTTTGTTTTCAGTCGTTCAGTGAACATCACTTGCAGGAGTACTCAAAATGCCGCTCGTATCAAACGCTTTTAAAGATTACAGATCGATAAAACCATTAAATAAAAAATAAACATAATAATTCCTTTATTATGTTGGAGCTTAACTCTAGTATGTTCGTTCAAACATTCGCTACAGCTCGCACTGCAAAAGTGAGAACCGGCTGGCTGTATATGTGATTTAGGACATTTTTTTAATGGTTTAGCTAAAAGCCCACGCGTGCTTCGATTGTCCTGAATATTGAATGAGTGCAATTTCTGTTGCAAAATTGTGAAATACTGCATTCTGTCCGAGGTCTGTATGATAAAAACAGTACCTCATAGTACTGTTTCACCTCAGATGTGATGTATAAATGGTATAAAAGGTTGGTTTACACCAGAAACTCATAAGGGGTTGTTCAACCCCTTATGAGTTTCTGTTTAAACGCAACCAACCAGATCTGTTGGCAAGATTTTGTAAAGTAAACTTCTCGAACGCAAAAAAATTCAACCTGATTTTCTTTTCCAGGCCTAATTAATCTTACGGTGATCAAGAGCCATTATGGCTCTTAAATGTGATCGAAGATGATTGCTATTTTTTGGGTGTACATATGAGTTTATCAACTCAATGTAAGATTTTGTTCACTCTTGGGCTGTTTGCAAATTTTTTTTCTCTAGAATCACTTAGCCTTTCCCTCAAAAGTCACATGAATGTGCTGTGTGCTCTAAAGTTAACTGAATTGTGGAATACAAGTTTATTGTTTGATTTAAATTATAAATATAGTAATGGGAGCCTCGCTTTTAGCCCTGGTTAAATCTATATATTATATTGCTTCTGGTTGAGTTATGAGTAACCAGTAACTGCTTACCCGCTGCTAACATCCAGTATAATATCTCTCGGTTCGTCTAGGCCACTTGTTATGAGAGCTTTCCGATAGGAGCCGTCCAGTTTGGAGACTTCCAGCTTGTCGGTTCCCGTATCAGTCCAGTAGAGATTCCTTCCGACTCTGTCTACGGCTAATCCATCTGGTGTGCGTACCTTTACGTAAATAATGACTTCCTGCATAGAGCCATTCAGGAATGAGCGAGAAATGGTTCGTCTTAATACATCTGTCCAATACACTCTGTCCTCTACAGCATCGTAATCAAGTGCAACAGGTCTGACAATATTTGATAAGGGCAGAGAAGTGAGAGACCCAGAGGAATCAGGCGAACTTCTCAAAATCCTGCCGTTGCCATAAGAGTCAGCCTCAGCGAAAAGAAGGAATTGCATGGATGCTAAAAAACAACGTTTGTGTTTTAAATACCTTAATTAAATTTTTTCCAGAATCCACTTTCCCACGAAGCCGGTTAATTACAATACCATTCCCTTACAGAAACAAAAAAATTAAGAGTTATAAGGTATATCAAAACTGTGCGGCTTAGCAAAGTGGGTTCTAGGCGAAAAACTCCTCACTGACATTCAAAAGTCGCCAAGCCGATTTCTATAGCTGCTTTCTTTTAAACTGTCTAGTGCCAATTATGTAAAATAACTGTAACTATACAGTGACTATAAACTGCTCCCACTTTTACTTTAAGGTTTTTGGGAATTTTTTGCCCATACAGAATCATGTAACCTAACTTAAATATCTTCGACATGTTAAAAGACACCATTATACACTACGCTCACTATCTGTCTTCTCACTAGCTGGGAGGCTACACTTAATTATCTAAACAGTTACTAGTTGTCTTAAGCAGAAATAACCTTTTGTTTGCGCGCACAATGCATGATTTTGAATAGAAATTCCAAACTGTGTTCCGTGTTTGTAGTTACTTTTGTTAAAACTATGTATAATAATTCGGTTTTTGTGATACACGGAATAATCAACATCTCGTTTAGCGTTCTCCCAAAAACAACTCTCCAACAATTGTTTATGCATTTAAAGACATCGCATATTTTGCACTATATAGTACCCATCGGACTACTTTTAATCAAATTTGTCCACTGAATTATGATGCATTGAAATTCCCACATGCATTTAGTATTATCAGAAACCCATAAGGGGTTGAAACGTGTAACTCGCGTTCAATTGCTTGTGAATATTCATTTTGACCATATTTGGAAATTTTAGTGACGGATATCCATTTTCAACAAAATGGCTGCTGAGCGATCACCATGCAGATGTTTTAAGACAAGAGTTCTGCATTTCAAGGTTAAAAATACACCGTTAAAAGACAAAAAATGGAAAGAGAAAGTTCAAAAGAATGCTCAGCTTTCTTTTTGTGGAGAAAGGGAAGCTTTTCATCAAGAAATCGTCCTTCGAGGAATTCAACCTTGTTTTCTTCACGGCGGAGCCCATGGTCTGTTTCAGCTTGTGCTGAATTTTCAGGTACATTTTGCACTCTATGGCCAAGACAATTACGTTTTTGAAAGGGAATTTATGTATTTTTAAATGTTTCATAGACGTTTTATAAATTTTTCTCTTCGGCGCTAAAGAAAAATTACAAAATGTGCCCTGATTTGAGATGGATTTTGTGTTGAATTTTGCCATGTGCTTAGCCGATGTCACTTGCGTGAACGGATCCACGATCCAGATAGTGTTTTCCGAATTGCTTTAAAGGATTAACTTTTTTGACTTTGAATAAAAATTTTCAAGAAACGGCTTCTCTGTCTATTGTTTTGAGTTTGTTCATTCATAAAATTAGCTCAAAACATGATCGTGACTACAACATCTAAGTTTAATTCAAGCTTTTTTATAAAATGCTTCTCACATTCATTACAAGCATCACTTTTTGCGAAGATGTCAGGTTCAGGTTTTGGACACTTTCGATACGTAGCTAATGAATTTTATTCGAAAATATTTTTCACTGTTTATTCTAGACTTTTAACATAAGAATTATAAAAGCCTATTTGCAGTATAAGTTTAATGTGCAGAGGGTCAACGAGGCATCGTTTTTTGAAGTGACAACTTCAAGAAGTTGTGAGGCCGTCAATGGGTTTCATAAGTTACGTTTGGCCCTGGTGGTAAGGCAATAATATCCTGTTCAGTGTTTCGGTAATATTCCTGGTTTCAACCTTTGAAAGCTTTCTCTTTTCGGGAGTTTTTCCCCCGTTTGTCGGCCATTTTTTTAAGCGGGCGCGGGAACCTGAAGGAAAATTACGTCATGTTGTTTACGAAGTTTGATTGGTCAGTTATCTCTCCTTCTCGTTCCAAATATGGTACTTTCTAAAATGAATAATCACGAGCATCAGACAAAGCAAACATATGAGAGTTACACGTTTCAACCCCTTATGAGTTTCTGGTATTATATAGGGAGCTTAAGCAACGAAGACGGCAAGCAAGGGGCCAACGGCAGCGAAAACGTCACCCAAAAAGTGAATTCGCGCTGCTTCAACCTTCATTGCTCTTATTCCAACTCTTTTAATTTGTCAAATGTTGGCGATTTTTTTCGGGAGTTGAATTCTTAAGGACTGTATCTAAGTTCACAAAAAGACAAAGGAAATCGTTGTCGTGTGTTCACGTCCTCTAAGCGACGTGAAGTTAGGAAGAAATTTCGGGCGTCGATAAAACCACGGAACATTCCAGAACATTCCGGAACATTCCGGAACATCCCAGAAAAACCCGGAACATGAAAAAATAAAAATAATTTTCATGAAAAAACAAATAAATAAAATAACAGTAATAATAATGAAATAAAATAACATAAAAACGAAAAATAAAGAAAGAAAGAAAAAAAAAACTGGTATAATCTCCGGCTCCGACTTCCTCGGCCTGTTTCAGACACCAGACATGACAGTGACATGACGGAACCAAATGCTCCGCGATTGATTTATTATTCAAAGCAAAACGGACGGCTCCTCTCCTTTCTATTCACCTTTGACCGGGACACGTAACAAACGGATACTGTGATATTCAGTGAATTTAGCTACAAAATAGTCACGCAGGTCTTTACAATAATAACCACTCGCATAAGCAAACCTTCAAGTGTCTTTGATAAATTAGGCTCGGGCTCGAAATATAAGGAGGGGACAGCGTTTTAACACAAAGAGTGAAAAAAAAAATGCAACGTCACAGGGGATACGCAAATCACTGTGACAGCGGCGATCGCCATCCTCAACCAGACGGAAAAAAGAGCGCACTTTAAACTAGCTTGAATTTCAGCCGTCTCCTCGAGTCTCAACTCTCCTCTTGCGACCCGTGCCGGATGTCTGAAATATAGAGCTAAGGCTGTAGACGGAATAGAAACTAGTACGAATGTGAATATTGTCCACTAAAATCCAAAGACATGAGCCACTTAGCTCTTCTTAATACGTTCACAGAGTCTAGTCTGTAAGAACCTCATCAGGGGCACCCAATGACGATATAGTTCAAAACCACTTAACATAGCATTTTTGAACGTATTTTAGTATTTAAAGGGTAGATATAGGCATATTTTTATCCCCTAAAAACTTTTCATCTGTTCGAATTTCCTAGCTGAAAGTCTAGTGATCCGAAAATTATAGGGATCAAAACTTACCTTTTCGAAAATTTCAGCCAGGGAAAGCTCCCGAAAATTCTAAGTGGCCTTTTTTAGGGTAAATATCCGTTTAAAATGGATAATTATACCATTTTGTTGATGTTCGAAAATCCTAGGAGAGGCAGGCAAGCAAGAAATTTTACAACAAATGTTCCGAAAATTCTAGTTCTCAAATCGTCTTCCGAACAGATATTTTCCCGAAAATTGCCGTTAGGTGCCCCTGACCTCATGTTAACCATAAGAAGCAAAGCCCCCGGAGGGTACTCCTAGGAATTCTCGGTGGGAGTGTGCCGCCCGGTCTCCAAATCCTGACCCCATTTCAGACCAAAAAATGTCATTTTCCATACCCGTTTTCAGACCTGGCCTTTGGGCAAAAATTATTAGCTTAGAGCGCAAAAATAAAATTCTTCAATCCATTTCTAATTTGCATATTTCTCTTTCTTTCTTACTTATTTGGAATCGAAACGATAAATACGTTCATACACTCCTGTAGTTCCCTCGAAAACCATATCCGATTCCAGACCAAAAATTGGCAAAATCTATACCCGTTTCAGACCAAAAAGGCGCAAAAACCATACCCTTTAGGGCATAATGCCCCCCCCCTCCCTGAACAAAGCTCCTCAAGTAAGCAAATGTCGGTTATATAAAGGGAGACTAGATAATGTTGACTTGTCATGAAGTATTTACCAACTTTGCTTGTCATGACATGAAATACTTGTCGACATTTCAGACCATCGGCTTGAACAACCCCCCCCCCCCCC